CTGAGGGCTCTGCCTCAGGGTCCTCATGTTTACCAGGGGCCATGAGAAAAGAGCACATGGAAGTTTGCATCATCCAGCATGTGCCCAGGCTCTCCTAGAGCACTGGAAGCATTTGGACTTTATCTTTTATGATTTGGACCTTTTGCTGACCTTTCCAGGTTTTCAGGGCTTGAAGTCATTAAAACCTGAATTCAGATCCTGCCTCAGATACTTGATTAGCTGAGTGATTCTCTTAACTTCTCTCAATTGCAGTTTTCTCATGTGTAAAATGGGAATAACGAAAGCTCTTGTATCATAAGATCATTGGGAGAGTAAAATGATATTTTTTAAGTGCAGTGGAGCATTCAGATCATTCATAGGTTATCCTCCCTTTTGCTGCTTGGCCAGTGCCACCTTCTCTTGTGACCTGGGTGTCCTGGATTATTTATGTCTTTGGCTCCATCTCTTGCATGCCAAGTCATTGTTGGTAGTCAAGTATGGCTTTCCTATACCTCACATTTGTGTCCCCATTGCCTTTTGGTTCCTCTGCAGTCTGGGTCTTTGGAGACTGTTGGGTTCTTTGATCATAGTTGGGCAGCATCATCAGCGCATGTATCTGAGGCCACCCATGAACAATGAACTGGTCAGAAAATTATATATAGCACAAGAAAATCAGGTGGTATTGTCCTTGGAAAACTACATGGTACTTACTTTTATGATCTCAAGCCCTTCTCTGGCATAAAATCCCATCTTTCTAAAGCCAGTTTTCTCAGTATGTGTTTGTAGTGACTACTCTAAATGAACCACATACCCATGGAAGGCCTCATTCATCTGTGATGCTGCCAGAGAGTTGTTGTCATTTTGTCTTATCCTTCATGGTTAAGGAATTTACCATCAGTCAGTTAACAGACATTGATTAAATGCCTACTGTGTGCCAGGCACGGGGAATACAAAGAGAGAAATGAAGTAGCGCCTGCTTTAAAAGGGGCTCATGTTCTTTAAGCATATACAAAATAAGGAAGAGATCATTTGGGGGTAGGAGGTACTAGCGCCTGGGGGGAGGACCAGGAAAGGCCTGATGGAAACAAGGGGATTTGAAGAGGCAGAAGTTAAATAGCGCATTCCAGCCCTTGGAGACAACCTGTGCAAAGGAACACTGAGAGAAAGACCGCGTGTTGTATGTCAGTCACTTAATAAACACTAAGGGCCCATTATGTGCCAGGCACTGTGCTGAGCACAGAGGAATACAAAGAGGCAAAAGATATCAAGCAGAAATAGCCTATTTATCTGAACCAAAGGGTCCAGGGAGGCAGAGGGATGTCTGTAATAAGACTGGAAAGATTTTTAAATGTAAGAAGGATTTGTCTTTGATACTAGAGATATTAGGGAGCCATTGGAGTTTCTTGAAGGGAAAGGGGGAAGTGATGAGATAGAAGAATCACTTTGGCTGCTATGTGGACATAATTGTTCTGCCATGTCCACTCTTTGTGACTCAGTGGACCACAGCACGACAGTACTGTCCATGGGGTTTTCTTGGCAAAGCTACTGGAGTGGTTTGCCATTTTCATCTCCAGTGGATTAAGGCAAACGAGGTTAAGTGACTTGCCCAGGGTCACATAGCTAGTGTCTGAGACTGGATTTGAATTCAGGTCTTTTTGATTCCAGGCCCAGCGCTCTTATCATCTGTGCCACCTGGCTGCCTCCTTGCAAATTAAGATGATGATGCAAATGAATGAAAAGTCAGAGTTAACGGATAATAATAGTAATAATAACAGCTAGCATTTTAGGTGGGCTTTAAGGTTTGCAAAGCATTTTATGTAAGTTATAGCATTTGAGCCTCGCAACAACTCTGTGAGCTAGGTGCTGTCATTATCCCTTTTTTATAGACAGGCAGGATTAGAACTCAGGTCTTCCTGACTCCAGATCCAGCACCCTTTTTGCCGTAGGATATATGTGACTTGTATGGTTGCAAATGGCAAAGTTTATGTTGGTCAAGACTAGGCAGCACGATACTGCCAGTGAGGATTTGTGCAGAAGCAGTATGGTGATGGAGAAAAGAGGTGGGGAAAGCAAGGAGTAACAGATGGGCAAGCTGCCCATTTCCCTGGTCTCCACACAATGTCAAGATACCTGTGAAGGAGTCCAGGCCACACATGAGAGGCCTGTGCAGGGAAGAGAGGATGATGTGAACCCGAGCTCCAAGTGCAGTTGACACTAGTCTGTCTGCTGTCGGACGTGTGCCTTGGATACGGAGGGTCATCAGAGCTCTGTCTGGCCTTCACCCAAGCGCCCTGCAGGGGTGGCCAACACACCATCTGTCTGGGCTGCTCACGCCCCTGCTAATGCCGTTTCTCCGACCACGCCTCGTACACGCTTGATTTGCTCATGCAGTTTTCCCTTTTTTTAGACCCAGCTCACTTTTCTCCTTGCATTCTCCACATCTTCTCAAAGCACATCAGGTAGTGCCTTCTATCATTGGGGGAGGGGTCCTTGTATTTTCTTATTTAATTCTTATATTCAAATTATTTGTGTTATTGTTAACTTTTTGTGCACTGACTGTTTATGTCCCCAACCAGACAGTGACTCCTGTGAAGGCATGAGCAATGTCTTTTACTTTGTATTCTGCAAAGATGCTGTCACAGCACTTTGCAAATAATAATATGACCCAAAGAGTTACAGATTTTTGGAGTTGTGAGGGACCTGGTAGCCATCTAATCTAACCCATAACTGAGCAAAAAAAAAAAAAATCCTCCTCTTGTAAGACACCTGACAAATGGGCGTCCAGCCTGGGCTTGAGGCTCCCAGAAAAGGGATGGCTTACTACCTCCTTCCTGAGACAGTCCTTCTACTTTTGAATAGCCTGCAATTGTTAGGAGGTGTAGTGGTGGTGGTGTTTTGTTTTGTTTTTTCCTCTTCTCTTAAGCATTAAGACTTGATCTGTCTCTTTGCAGCTTCCATACATTGCTCTTATTTCTGGCCTCCAGTCTAATTCTCTCCTCCTTCCTCCCCTCCCCCAACATGGTGGCTCTTTGAAGACAGCTATCATAGTTCCCCCTGCTCCCCATTCTAATCTTATCAGAGCTAAGCATGGTGAAGCATGCTAATTCCTCTAACCAATCCTCACAAGACATGAAATTGAGGCTCTTCACCCTCCTGGCTGTCTTCTTCTGGATATTATCCATCTTATCAGTGTTCTTCCAGGAAATGTGATATCCAGAATACAATAAGCACAATACTCCAGAGGTAGCTAGCAGTGTAGCAGACTTCTCTTGTCCTAGACACTCTGTTTTTCAGTGCAGCCTAAGATTATGTTAGCTTTCTTTCCTGCCATATAACAGTGCTGAATCATGTCTAGCTTTCACTTTACTGAAATCTCCAAATCTTTTCCAGATGAACTCTTATATGGCCATCCCTTCCCTGATTCCCCTTGTGCATGTGATCCCTCTTAAATTATGTTTTATCACATATGGCCAAATGCTCTGGCCCAGGGATTCTTAACTTGAACTAGTAACTAAACTAGTAAGTCCATGAACTTGTTACTAGAAATAAATATATATATGTACATATATGTGTATGTGTGTATATGCACATATACACATATACAGCTATATATAGATAGATAACTCTTTCAACATAATTGCTTTCCTTTGTAATCCTATATATTTTATATTGTGCATTTAAAAAGATGGTTCTGAGGAGTCCTGAGGCTTCACCAGATTGACTGCCCTGGAGGCCCCTGACATAGACAAGGGGAAGAACTCCTGCTCAAGCCTATCAGGGTCCTTTTTGAATACTGGCTTTGTCATCTGTGTATTAGCTCTTCCTCTCAATTCTGTGCATCTGAAAATTTGGTAAGCGTGCCATCCACTTGTATTTAGCCAAACGATTGTTTTTCTTGTTCAGTGGTGTCTGACTCTGTTACCCTGGGGACCAAAGCACACCAATACCATCCAGGGGATTAGTTACTGGACTGGTTTGCCATTTCCTCTTCCAGTGGATTAAGGCAAACAGAAATGAAGTGATTTGCCCAGGGTCACACAAGTAAGTGTCTAAGGCTGGATTTGAACTCAGGTCTTCCAGACTCCAGTCCTAGTGCTCTGTCCACTGAACCATCTAGCTGCCTCAAAAAACTATTGATAAGCAGCGTGGAGCACAAATCCCAGTGACATTCCATTGTCAAGTTGGCCAGTCTACAAGCATTTATTAACATTTGAATGTGTCCCAGGTACTGTTTTAAGTGCTAGGGAGGCAAAGAAAAGCAGGTATACCATACCAGCTCCCAGAGAGCTCATGTTCTAATGGGGGAGACAACATGCAAACAACTGTACTCCTTCTACAAGAAAGAGTAGATGGAGAGTAATCTCCGAGGGAAGGCACTGGCCTTGAGCTCCTTTCAAGTTGAAAGTTTTCACAACTCATGCTCATTCTGCTTCATTCCACTGTCATTTAACCTACTTCTCTCCTTTCCCACAGCTAGTATGAACAATTCAGCCAGATGTTGTCTAAAGTCTGTGGGAAGTCTCCATGGGATGTTGCCTAATAAGTTATTACCCTGTTAAATAAGAGGGGGTGAGCTTAGGTGTGGACGATGTGTTACCGAGGGAGGGAGCCACCCACTAGCTCTTGAGATGCCTTCCTTATCTGCTATCCCTCTCCCAGGGCTAGAGCTTCTCCAGGAAACACAGCTGTCACAGGGCTCTAATGGCTTCTTCTTTTTCCTTTTCAGCTCCCGTGGGCAGGCTGGTAATTTCTGTGGCCTTGCAACTTGGAGATTCTACAATTCTTCTATTCTTCTCTTTCCGGCTTCCTTAGCAATAATTATGCTATATGAATATTAATTAATAATTCCATAGAAATTGCAATGTACAAATGAAAATCCTGAGTTTCCAGGGGAAAATTATCAGTAAGCAGTGAGATCAGTGAAAACTTCATAATGGAAGTAGACATAATAATTTAAGGTAATAGTAAATGATTATGTTGTTTCTTACTCAGAAACCTTCATTTATTCTTTGTTTTCTCAGCAAAATTTAAACTCCCTGCTCTCTGGTGCCAGCTGTAGCTCCTGCGTCATGGACCGATAACTATAAGGAACTCAGAAATCATCTACTTCCAACCCCCTCGTTTTACAGATAAAGGAACTGAGGCCAAGAGGCCTGACTTGAGGCCCAGCTTGGGCAAGGCAAGACAGGTGGAAGATCCAGGATCTGACTGCTGCCTCCAAATCTAGAACTCTTTCTATGGTACCGCCTTAGGATCCTCTAACCAGCCTGGCCCACTCTTTGCACCCCAGAACATGCGTTGAGGTGTTTATAATCTACTTTGCGCCTTGTATTCCCTATGCCTGAGGTATTTTTTCCTCTTAATTCCTGTGTGCCTCTTTAAAGCCCTTCTCAGAGGCCACGTCTTTCAGTAAGCCTTTTTTGATCTTCTCTGGTTGTTAAAGATTCTGCTGTCCCCACAGCTTTGGATTTAACTTTGCCTTTAATTTTGCAATTCTGTGACACATGTAACTGTGATGTATTAATGTTAAATTATTAAAATGTTAAATGACACTTGCATTTGTGTCTTATCCGCTTCCTAAAATGTCAGTTTCTTGTGCACTGTGCTTTTTATCTACCTCAGTATCTATCACAATGCTTATCAAACAATTAAGTTGATCCCCCTAGCTGCTAGCATCCTCTGTTGAAAAACTAAATTGGGGTGTGTGTGTGTGTGTGTGTGTGTGTGTGTGTGTGTGAGAGTGATGCATAAATTTATACGGTCCCTTCTTAGAATGTTAGCCTCCTGAGGGCTGGGAATGTTTCACTTTTGTTTTTGTATCCCTAGTGCTTAGCATAGGACCTAGGCCACCCATAGTAGGTGCTTAATAAATGCTTGTTGGTTGAATAAACTTTTATTGAACAAGTGAATGTATTTCTTTTCTGGAGTGAATCCTAAGACTTGGCTTATTATCTGCCATTGCCCCTGAGGAGTCTCAGAGGGTGTTGGGTGGAGTTTTGTTACTCCTGTGCCCCCAGGCGCTTCAGGGCACCCAGCTGGCTCAAAGGAATTTAGGTAGGCAGGTTGGCTTAGCTGGCTGTAGCACACATGACTTGGACTGCCCCTGAGGGTGGGCTTCAGACTCGGTTGCATATGGGGGATATTCTGGCACTTTCACTTGCCTGGATGTGCTGCTTCTCAGCACAGGCCATCCTTTTAATGCTGGTACCCTGGAGAGTCTGTGTGGCTCTTAATCCTGTGACATTCTCCTGGCCAGAGAATTGAAATAGCAGACACCGGAGAGCGCTGCCGCAAGGGTGTGATGTAGAGTCGGGACAGGGCGCAAAAGACATCTCGTTGTGGGGGGTTGATGAGCCTGCAGCTTGTCCGGTTGTAAGAATGAGGGAGGGGTACCAGAGGACCACTCTTCCTGCCTGCAAGCCTGTTGGGTAGATGTATGGAGAAGTCAGGAAAAGATGAGGTGGAGAGGCAGAGTTCTGTGCCAGCTCTACCAGTGGAGGAAGCGGCTGCATGGTTAGGCCAGAGCTAACAGGATCAGGGATTTAGAGATCATCGAGTTTCTCCCCTCCCCTTGCTTTTTTACAGGCAGCTTGTCGAGGGTCATTCGGCTAGAGTGTCAGGGACTGGAATCCACTCCAAGTCCAGCGCTCCAAGCATAGATGTTTTGCGCCATTTCCCCTTCTTTCATTTCTGGATTTCTGCCTCAGAGTGCAGGTGTCTTCACTTTGATCTCACAAATGAATTTTGCCAAGTCACTGTCAGTGTCTCCACCGACGGTCGGAACTACAGTGAGTCATAAAATGTACAGTCAGATTGACTCAGGGCTGCCTCTCTGTCTTTCAAGACATGTCAGGGTGATAGGTGACTGAACAGAGAAAAGGGGATGAAGTGGTGGCAGCTGGCCATTCAAAGCTCCCAGGTTTCCCAGAGAGGAGCACCTCTGCACAGTTATAGTCTCTAATTGTAGCTGCCAAAAGGGTGGTGTTTGGAGTATTGGTTAAAGACATCTCCGCATGAGCTAGGCCTTCTGTGACAGCTTATTCATTAAAGGTGTAAACTGCGTTGAGAGGAGCCAGGGCCCCCAAGTAGCTGCTGGGTCCTACTACTCCTGAATTGGAAGCTCACACACGATCACTTTCTTTTCTGTCCCAGAACCAATTGATCCATAAACATTTATCAAGCACCTACTATGTGCCAGGCCTTGTTATGGTGAGTGGGGAAATGAGGAAAAAAGTGAATCAGTCCTTGCTCTCAAAGAACTTAGATTCTAGGAAGGCGGCACCACATGCCTACAAAGGACTTGCTAGATATAGGTGAAATAAATGTAAGGTAATTATTTTGGAGAAAGGCCCTCAGAGGCAGAGGGGTTAGGTAGCCGGGTGTCTTAGGTATTAGAGTAGGCTTTATTTAGAGATGGTGCTTGAACTGAGCTCAGAGGAGAAGTCAGGATTAGAAAGAAGCTGAAGTGAGCAGGGAGTAGTGAGTACCAGGTAGAGGGGACAGCCTATGCAACACAGAGGTGGAAGAAAAAAGAGATTACTGGTTTTGTTTTTTATTGTCACGAAGTACCATTAACAAGGAATGTGGAGGTGATTTTTCAAGAGTTTAGGGAATTTTATTAATTGATAGGCTAGTGTATCACATAGGATAGTAGCCTCCCAGTGCATACATGACCCGCAAATGAAGTTTTTTTTGATGGTGAAGGAGATAACTTCTAATTTTATTGTATTAGGAACCAACTTGTTTTAAAGGTGAGATAATCATGAATCTAAGACCAGTGAATTAATTTAAAAATACATTTTATTAAAAGTTGTTGCCTGCTTACCAATCCCACAAACTGCAAAAAGCTAAAATAGAAATCTCAGTATTTAAAGTCTATATCATCACAAATAAAGACTAAAGGGAGTCTAATGTTGTTTCTCTAGGATAAAAATTTCATTGGGAAATATTTCATGAACAGTAATGACCATCCTCCTGTCCCACAAGAAATTAACGTAGGGGGGTTTAAATATGAAAGTATTTTAATTATGCTTTCTGTGGAAAGTGTAAACTTTTGTCGGTCCCTTTTCACCTTTAGTATATTTTCTTAGGTAATTTTCAGTGTTCTGAGAAGACACCTGTCGTTGAAGGGTTTGAAACTTGGAATCAGAAAGACCTGAGTTCAAGTCTTCCCGTCCTCATCCTGTGACCCTGGATATTACTTAAGTGTCCCAGATAAGGCACTGAACTCAAAGGTCCTATTGATTGATCTGAAACTGAAAGGAATTTCCACATTAGAAGTCCAGATTCTTGTGTACATCAATTTGAAGCTGTTTTCGTTAATCTGTTAATAAATATTTAGATGTAGTTCTCCACAGATAACTTTCTGCGTGGCTACAATAGAGGTTCATATGTAAAAATATGTTGAAAGCAGAAATAGCAGAATTTTTCTCTCATTTAATTTCTGACCTGATGTGTGTGTGTATGTATATATATAATGTATATATAATGTGTGTGTGTATATATATATATATGTTTCTGTCTCTTTTGTCTCTTTCATGAAGCAAGATAATATGGTATATCCTTTGTAGATTGTATATATGCATATATTCCTTTTCTAGAACAAATACGTTGGAGTTTAAATTCAGTAAATCTAATGCTTTGATGAGGATACATTCAGTGCTTTTGTAGGTTGTGTATTATACCTTGCTTTATAAAATCAATGCGTTTTAAAAGACAGAACTATTATTTATACAAAAGGTTACCCTTTATGGAGAAATTGATTTACTTTTTTGCCTCTGTTACTATGGAAACACTATTAGCCTGTCCCTAGTGGAAACCAAAATTTACATTTAAATAGAGACATTTTTAAAGGTAAAGACAGAGTAGGAAAATGTGATTTTTCTTAGAAAAATCTTAGGCTATATTATAGACTGTTTTTAATACTAGCATGGGCACGGGAGACAATAGAATGCTTAATAATAAGTGACCTCTAAGTTTATTCAATAACAGGAGTGTGAAGGTACAGACATTCAGTTTATAATAGAGTAAAAATGAATCTCAGATTTGCTGTGCTGGACCAGTGATAATAAGAGTCTCATTAACTTTAATGGAAATTTTTCCTATGCATTTGTGTCATATGGGAGGGATGCATTAAACATTTTAAACTATCCTGCTCAATATACCTCTTATTGGAGTTTATGGGATTTATAGGTAACTTATTTTTGTAAGGGATCATTAGTGATAAGGTTTTGACATTTGCTTTCCGGACATCTTTGTTTCTTCCCTTAGTTATATTTTCTACATTCCTATATTACGGTTATTTTTCTACTTCTGCCCCATGTGCTAGATGAGGGTGCAGCAGTGGGGGCAAAGGGAGAGGGTAGTGAGACTTCGAAGAGCTTGGATCCTGAAGCTGCTACCCTCAGAATTAAGAGTATGTGAACCATGGTGGGGGGGGGTAAATGAGAAGGGGGAGGGGGAAATAAAGGAGAGAGAGGTGGAGAAGACCTCAGAGAGAGTATGGGGAAGGCAAGGAGAGTCGGAATCTAGGTTACTCTTTGAAGAAAACAAAAAGATCCTATCACTTTTTCAAATGGAGAATCCCTATTTCAGGACTGACAGACAAAACACTGACATTCCTTTCCCCACCCCCAATTAAACACTGTACTGTCAATCCAAAGCCTCCTGCTAGGCTGTCCTGAAGGACCTCGACTGAAGGGATGAATCATTTATTAAGCCGTTACTATGTGCTAGGCATTGAGTTGGGAATACAAAGAGGAAGATGGTCCCTGCTCTTTGGGAGCCTCCATTTTTCTGGAGAGTCGGATAGAAAGGTCCTTGAGGGTAGAACAGCAGTGCAAATGGAAATGCCTCTTCTTTGATGTCAAGTCCACCAATAAAATCACATCCATTTCTGATGCAGAACCATCTGAACCATTGGACAGGGCCGGGAAGATGGCTGAGGGCACTGGGCTGGAAGTCTAGCTGTTCCCAAGGTTTGGGCTCAGGGGCCTGGGCTGCTCTCATTTGGGTCTGTGGGGAGGTGCTCAAGTTGGAGGTGGTGTGAGGGTGGGCTGGGCTGAACTGGAAGTAGGACCACTGAGTGTATCAAGGGGACTTCTGTGGCCTCTTTTAAGGTGATGAGGAAGGTGGGCCCCTTTTACATGGTGACTTATCCCCTCAATGATGGCTGCTGGGTCTGGGCTGGAAGCAAATCTGGTTATTGGGGACACTGCTATTTCTACAGCTTTTGGGTTTAGCATTCAAGGATGTCCCCCTCAGGGTCTGAGGGGAGATGGTGGCCTTGTCTCTGTCTTTTGGGTAACAACAAATTTCAGGTCTGGTCTTAGGCTTGAAAGAATTAAGTTGGTTTGACTTAGCTGACACATGCTCTTTTTCTGTTTCCCCTTCAGGGTACTCTGCTGCTTCATGAAACTTGGCTGGCTTGCCTGCCTTTTGAGAGGCATAGAGCTTACATTCTGTCTCTTTCAGGGGGCACCACGTACCTACATAGGTCCATACAGAGTAAATACAGGGTGGTTTGGGGAGGGAGGAATGGATCAGGAAAGGCTTTG